CTAGTATTTACATTTGGAAAACGCGCTATTGTGTCATCTACCTTTATCGTTATTTAGATGTAAAACAAGGATAAAATGACGCAATAGCGATAATAATCTCCTCTCCGAACGCGACCTGTATTTCTTTCAAAATATTGTACGCCTATTAGACATCTCCGTTGCATGTCGCCAGTTCTTATTTGTTAACATAACCTGCGTTCAGCGTGAAGTGCGCTGTATGGTTTCAGTTATATAAAAAATTCAAGCAATGGATAAAACATCTCAATCTTCTCAATCTCAATCTCAATGAGAAGGATTGTAAAATGCCATGGCAGCATACGCAGAAATATTCGATTTACAGCAGAAAGAGAACGAGAATGAGAACGAGAACAACTGGGCATTTCTCTGCAAAATTTGCTCTGACAAAAAAATTATTCACGCAAGTAGAACTTCAACTGCATATTTAAAAAAACATATATGAGTGTAAGTCTTTATTTATAAAATATCAATATATTTTTTAGTGAAAAAATTTAATTTTTGATGTTAAGATTAATTTTAATATTTTTAGTATTTATTACCCTCATCAAATTTATTCACCTTCTTATAATTGTTATTAATAATCTTAAAGAATAAATATAAATTGCTTATTTAAATTAATGAATCTAATTTATAAAAATTATATACGATATGAGGAATATAATAATCAACTAACTACTTTTATATAAAATTGAGGAAATTTACACAATTACGAAATTTAAAATAATAGCACAATTATTGTAAAAAGTACCTGAAAAATAACGACTCGTTACTTTTTAAATGACTATAACTGTAACATGTTATTTTTAATGGCCAGTAACTTGTAACTGTAACTAGTTACTTTTTCAGTGAAAAATTCTGTAACTAGATACTTTTATAAAGTAACTTTTACAAAGTAACTTTTCCAACCCTGATAATAGGTTAGATTCGTGATACGGATTACAAGACAAACATAAACATGGACAATTAATCTCAGCACGCTTGTTCTTTATACGAGGGTAGTACCCAGAAGTACCTGACCTGACCTGACGTATAGTTAGCGGTTGTTGTTTGAAAAGAATGACTATGGTAGAAAGTACCAACTTTATAAAGCTTAAGTTTGAAGTTTGACGACGCTACGTTGTTTAGTATTTGTTTGGCAGCCATCAATAGTGAACGCTCTCAATTTGTAAACATAGAAAAAATTGGTCATCGTTATGTGATACAATACTTTCATTTGAAAGGCCTCAGTCCAACCAATATCACAGCGAAGCTAGATTCTACTCTGGGGGAGTCTGCTCCTTCGTTTACAACAGTAAACTATTGGGTGGCAGAGTTTAAACAAGGCCGTACTAGCTGCCAAGACGAACGTCGCAGTGGTCGACCAAATGAGGTGACCACGCCAGAAATGGTGAAGAAAATCCACAAAATGATATTGGATAACCGTCGACTGAAAGTGCGCGAGTTAGCAGACATGGTAGGCATTTCAAAAAGTGCTGTATATCACATATTGACTGAAAATTTGGACATGAGAAAGCTGTGCGCAAGATGGGTGCCGCGACTGGAACAAAACAGCGTCATGAGGATGTTTCAATCGAGTGTTTGGCGAAGTTTCGCAGCAATAAGGCCGAGTTTTTGCGTCGATTCATAACCATGGATGAAACATGAGTCCATCACTTCACACCTGAGACGAAGGAACAGTCAAAACAATGGACCAAGGTGGCTTGATAGCTATTTTGAGGAGCTCGACGATTCCCACTATAAACAGGATATCGAAGCTATTGAATATCGCTGGGAAAAGTGTATTGAGCTAAAAGGAGACTATGTAGAGAAATAAACATATTTTTTCCCAAATTTTTTGTGTTTTCTTTGTTAGGTCAGGTACTTCTGGGACTACCCTCGTAGCATACGTGTCTATCGCGTAGTGATTAGTGTTTTTTTTGATGAAAATCATATTTTTTTCGAATAAAGAAGCATTTGAAATGTTAATCATTTTGAGGGAGTGCCGTTATTATGTCTGCCCTGAACGACGATATATGAAATGGCAGATTGAAGAAGATTGCTGTTCTCTAAATTCTGCAGAAGTTCTGAGAGCCGTTGACAACATGAAACAAAGGATAAGAAGATGTCTTCGTCAATGTGGCGGACAATTCGAATATCTGTAACTATCTTTTAATTTCCGAATGATATCAAATCTTTTTTCAAGCAAAAGTTGTTTCTTTTTAAAAGCTTTGTCCAACGACACACATATTGCTTCATGTTGCTATTTAAAATTTTTAAGTTGCCTTCGATTTCCGGTATTTCCGAAGATTTTCCAAAAGTGAAAGTATCACCATCAGAAATTGTAGATAGGTTTTTGTGATAAATATTTTCCCAGCTTTCTAGCATCGCCTCTTTTCAAAACAAAAGAGGTGGACGGGTAGTCCGTAACACCCTGTAAAAGATTTACACGTGTTCCGACAAAATAAATGTTTAGATGTATAAAAGTATTTGCGCATTGTTAATATAGATTTATTGTATTCATATTTTCCACAAACCACAGCTTCTTTAACATCTAGCCTTGCGACACTGCATGTTTATAGGGTGCTTACATAATCAGTCGGGAGACGTTGTCGTATGTCGTACGTATCAATCATAACTTCACAATTGACAGTCAACACATAAAAATCAAGGTTGTCAAATGAAGATGAAAATTTGTCATATCCAAAATGGTAATAAGATGATTGATTTTGTCATCTTTCGGATCGTTACAGCAGACGGATGGTACCCCATCGTTCTTGTACAATTAGGCCTGTTCTACAATATGTGTTGTAAGCTGTAAGCCGTAAGAACTGATCAATTATAGCCGATTATTTTTGTAATAATCGACTGTGATTCGCCAATTCTTACGGCTTACAACTTACGACACGTATTGTAGACCAGGCCTTACTTCCGAAGAAGCAAGGTTTTTTGAGCCAATCAAGCTAAAAAACAGTTGCAATATACGAAAACAGCTGTACTTTGTCAATACGAATTTCTTGCAACTTAGATTTTCCGCAAATCACCCTTTCTTAACTAATCTAATCTTATAAACTCATATATTTATATGTAAATACCAAAATGATAACAACTTGGCCGTCCGTCTTTCGGATCATTACAGCAGACGAATGGCGCTCAGTCATTCTTACATAAATATTTTCGAAGCATGAAGTTTCTTTTAAGCCGTTCAAACTCAAAACAGTCGGAACCTGATGCTTCTCTTGAAGCAAAGAAATCTTTCATTCATCATTCCTCCTACGACAATGAGAGCCGAAGAAACGCGTGGATGATGGCCCCTTCCGATCATGAAATCGCGGCTGCCGTTTCGAAAGATCGCTACTCGCGATTCATACTGCACACACGCGGCTTGCCGTCGGTGTGCCAGCTATCGTATTTACATCGGATTCGCTGTCATTAATTTTTAATAAACCGATGCGCGCGAACGTGCGCGACCGCGAGAGCAAATAAAACCCGCGACTGATCGTATGCGGGAGCACGGCTCGGTCGACCCGATTCGGCGTAACGCGATGCGCCACGATGCATTGTGTTGCGGTGCGGTGCGGTGCGGTGCGGTGCGGTGCGGTGCGGTGCGATGCGGTGCGATGCGGTGCGGTTCGGTGCGATGCGGTGCGGTGCGGTACGTGCGGTGCGGTGCGGTGCGGTGCGGTGCGGTGCGGTGCGTTGCAGTGCAGTGCGGTGCGGTGCGGTGCGGTGCGGTGCGGTGCAATGCGGAGCGACGGACGGACCGGTTTGTTTGCGTGGCGCAGATCCTCTTTCTTTCTCCGCCGGCGGCTCGGCAACCGACCACTCGGCGTACCGGCCGCGAAGCGGTACCCATGGCTATTTATTTGAGCAATTAATATATAACCCTCGTAAATACGGCGCGCGGCCACCCCCGGGCATCGCGGCGCACTGCGCCGAAATGCGAATGATTACGCGTCCGTGCTCATCGCCGTCATTAAGTGCAGCGGCCAACCGCCGCTGCGTGGGCGCGCATAAATCCCGCGCGCTGGCGTAATTTACAACGAACGAGCGCCTAACCGACTCGTTTACAAGAATCGCGGCCGATCGCCGGTTAATACTTTCGGCGACGAGATCGGCGTACCGCCCGGAACACAGTATCGTGCGTGAGCGCCGGCGATTATTATCGAGGAGAACTTCGCCCAGGGAGGAGGACAGAGCGAGTGAGATCGATCACTTCTGGGAGTCGATGAACCGCGGCGCGGCACGTGAAGAAAATCGTTTGATGATACGTTTATTTCTTCTAAGCTTCCCGCGTGCAATACAAAAGACAAATGATGTATCCTCTCCTCGCGACTCCTCCTCTCTCGTTTCACTTCCGTGAAATTCAAGATAAATTACTCTATTGCACGCGATAATATAAAAGCATAATGAGCTAGTTACCGAGGATTTGCCTCACGTGCAAATATTATTGAATCTCTCAAATAAGCTTTACTGGAGAAGAGATGAAAAGATGACGAAGCTTAACGAGAAGACTATTCAGTTCGTTGGAATATGATGCGCCTGACTGGACCAGTCTGCATCATCAAGGAATAGTTCGAGCTCTGTCCCATTAAAAAGCACACGAAGCCGGCGTCTCGAGTTTCGTGATTTGCTTCGATGAACGCGAGGGAGCGGATATTAAACGAAGAGAAACAAAGACGCGCCTCCATTTCGCCCTCAGCGACGCAAGGATCGAGGGGTGGTGGTGAGTCCCTCGAGAGAGGATTACCGGGGCCCGCGATGTTGGGATTACTCGCATGGGGTAGCTAACGGAACACAGGGCTGATTGAGAACATCCCTAACGCGCCACGACAGTCTCCATCCGTCCGTGCGTAGCCATAAAAAAAGAAGGAGAGAACCCGACATCTCCGTTACTCTCGCGATCTTTCGGTATCCAGACTATCGGTCGACTTTGAACGCGACTCACGTTTGTTCAGTAGCTCTTCACAAATCAAATAAAGTAGTAAATATTATATATTACTTACCAGCAATTGTGTTCAGAAACATTAGATATTCAAAGTTGGATATTTCTCGACGCTGCCACTTTTGAGTCATGTTAGAACTTCTCATCAATTGTCGTGGAGACATCAATGATGCTCGTCTGCGAAAATGAAATACAATTTATCAACTATAGTATTTTTTTATAATATATTTATAATTTTTTTTAATCCTCATTGTACTATCATGATATAAAATATAAAATATATAGTTGTATAGTATAAATTATAAATTAAAAAATTAATTTATTTTATTTAAAATTATTAGTAAAATCATTAATAAGTTTTCTTCTTGTTCTTTCGAAAACTTGTATAAAAAAAACAAATATTATGAAGTATCTTTACAAATCTTTATCAACCTTTAGAAAGAAAACTGCACAAAGAAACTGAAAAATTGAACCAAGATGCCATGGATCTTAATGACGCATCGAGGATAAATCTAGCATCGTCATCAAAGTATAACTTGTATCTTCGTGTGAATTAGTGAAAATGGTTTTGATAGAATCTGTAAAAGAAGTATTTTACTAATAATCAATAAATATTCACTGATTTTCAATAGAAATGATCCCACCTATCCTGCCACCAATCCTCCATTTTATATTTCATTTTTCAAATAGTGAAAGTGTACATCATTTAACACGTTTAAATATATTAAATGACGTGATTTGATAGCAAAAACGTATAAAGAAACCAATTTCAACCAATTACACGCTTATACGTATAAAAATAATACACTCAGATTTGCAATGTATAGCAACCTATTTTGCGCACTTTTAAGTATGGTATAAATTTTCATGTTGCGAATTTAAAGAGATATCCGAACAAATTTAATTAATTAATTGTTGTAATATATAAATTTGTAGTTCACTATGAATATATTCCAATTGTACGATGTAGCATATGTTCTTTAATAAAAGTTTTCTCCGTGTAAGCGAAGTCCTATAGTTATAACACTGGTGATAAGTATAGGATTTTAATAAAGAATGTATTGTACTTTAAACAATATAAAATGGTCTTTCCAAGCAACAGCTCACTAACTAATTAATATTTGACTATGATTTATCTTCGTCACTTGTATCTAAGATTATGTAAATCTTAATTATGTAAATCTCCGCTCTTTAAATCGATTCCATGAAAGACTGCATAGGTACATGAAAGTAAGAACATCCATATATGCATTCGCACATGCGCGTCCGAATTTTGTCGACAATGAAGTATCAACAATTGAAACAAACAAGTTCAAACGAATAACGATTTGCTCATGAAACGCGCGCAATTATACGGCAATTTATCGAAAAACCGTATCACAAGCGTGTCATTCTGCGTAGCGTGCGTGCACCGCACGCTACGCATTTTAATTGCCGAATCGAAACGAGCTTGTGCATCGGCTTTAATGTGCAATTAAGACGCCGGTCGCTCTCAATTCATAAGAGCAATTACGTCAAGACGCGCAGCGGCGCTTTGCGTTCACGCCATAAAGCCCGTCGCGCCGCTTTATAAACGCGAGGATCGCTGATTTAGGATTTATACGGGAGACTTTAACGGGCGTTCGTCTTGCGACGTTAAAAGAGAGCGCACGATGACGGTACCGGACGCATAAATTCAGTCCTGAGATGCGACTCGCGTAAATTTCAAGCGTGCGTGAAGACTTACAGCGAGATACCGGCCGCGAAGATCGACAAAGCAAAGATGATTGTCGAATCGCGATCTCAACTGCGAAAACGCTTGATCTTGGTTCTTTAACAGATCTTTTTGAACGAGTTGTGCGTATTGGCGGAGTAAATGTGTACGCATGCAGTACATGACATAAAACGCGTCGTCCACGAGTCGTTGCGAGATCTTGAGATGTTATCCTAGTCGTGCTACCTGTGGAGTAGATTAATGTTAACGGCAAGGTCGGTAGATGTAAATTCACATGTAACTGATATGCTAGAAGAAACTCTAGCCTAATTGCTATCGATTTATGACGTTGTTAATAAATAAAGATGTAAGCACCATGTCCTACGGGAGGACTCGTGTCCTTGATATTTGTCGTTACATAAATTTCGATTTTCTTATAAATAATTGTGACCCAGAGTTCCGTATTAATTAAAACTGCATAGTAATTGAGGACGTTACTTGGTGCGAGATAGCCCCTTACATTATGATTTTCATTATGAATTAATCATGACTCTCTTATGGTTGCCTCCTCACTGTCGCACTTTTCTACATGGCGTTCGACGATTCCCTGGCGAAGCCTTTACATAAATTGACTTCGAATCGTAACATAAACTATTTAGATATACCGGTCATATACAATAATAAACATTCGTCGGATATTGTCGACACATGAAAGTCGCATCAGACGCGGAATGCTTTACATTCTTTACGTTGAATTTTAATAGCAGATTTCTTGATAAATCGACGAGGTACCAACGTTTTTGACATTTCAAGTTTTAGTATCAAATACCTCGGTAATTAAGAGCTCGCGATCAAATTTTATCGAAGCTCGCGTACTAAATTAAAGAAAATAGAAGAAAAAAGAAAGAAGAAACTAAAATTATTCGAAGATCGTGACGCTTTAAGACAGTCACGCGGCGTTCTAATTAAATATTAATTAAAAAGCCTCCCTCTCTCGCTCGTGAATAAATTTCATGTTTACATAACACCGCAATCCTCACTATGTCACGACACGATTTCGCGTTTTATACAACGGCGGATTATTTTTTGTTAGGAATCTTCTCTTTCGATCTGACATTGGAGTTCGCCGGAGTTTATTTATGGCCGACGTATCCTTCTCGCTGATCTTCTCGACTATCTCGTATATAGAAGCGCTCTAATGGATGGGTCGAAGCGCGGATACGCAAACCTCTGTTCTCATCGACAATTCTTGCTTCACAGGAAACAATCTCATACCGTCGCGGTATCTTGCGGAAGATCTTTCTCTTTTTGATGTGTATCTACGATGCACCTCTACTATACGTAACATCATAAAAAGTCACGGAGTATTTTATAGGAATAAATTTTGCATCCTGATCATCGCTCTTGCGCTCGTTTATATCGTTACATTCCCATTCTCTGAATCGTAATGGCAGCAGATGGAAAGATATACAAAATTGAAACGTAAGGGTACATGAGAAAATAAAAATCCGCGGCGCATATAAATCTACGTTGAATTTTATCGTTGTCATCGACGGGATATGTGCAGAAAAATATATACATTACATTCAAGTAAATGTCACTTATTTTAAGCACTTTATAATTTTATGCATCTGCAAATTTGTCAAAAGTTCATCATTAAATATCAAATTTTCTCAAAATACATTCTAAATCCTAATAAGTTTAGGATGCTTCGATCAAAAATTATTAATTAATTATAAATTTAATTATAAATTAAAACAAAGAATAATTCGAGATTTTCTTTTTCTATATAAATTTTATAATATTCTTGAAAAAGCGTAAGTGCTACTGAATACAGAGTAAAAATTTTTCTAAAATTTATAACAAATATATTTAAAATTGTTATCAAGAATATATCCTTTGTTAAAGATGAATATTATTTAGAAAGAGAAAAATAAACTGAGTAATCGCAGTTTATCTCAGCAATAGAATAATATTTTTCTCTGTGCACTGTTACAGACCATCAGCATTGGGCAAAAGTTTGCGACTACAAAAAAGGCCTAAAGATAAGAAATAATGAAAAAAGATTATCATTATCTATATTTGAAGCATAACAAGTGTTAATTTTATAATTTATAATTACCTCGATATTTTGTCTGTGTGTGTTTATGTGGTGTATATGTGTGCATGTCAGACTTAGAATGAAGTGTATTACACATTTTTATCAAACTGCATTCTCGCAGTTATCATATTAGATGAGAAATTTATTTAGGCAGAAAGTTATTAGACAGCGAAATTTTGCTAAATCTCATATAACTACTAGTCTTTACTCGTATCTTGTCAATGCCATTATATTATATGTCTGTAAAAAGAAACGTTTCAAATCCGTCCCTGGGTAGAATCTCCTTATCGAAAGGGACAAAGAAGTGGGGAAATGACGGGTATGTTTCGGGGACAGTGGACTCGAAGGAGAGATACTCAGGTCTTCGTGGAACCGCAGGAGCGCTTCCTTCCCCATATTTCTAGCTAGCAGTCGCTTACCTAGTCTGGGGTATTCCGTATTTGATGCCGACGCCTACCCGCGGTAGCGCCTTGATCACCTTCTTCACCGTCGCTTGGTCCGAGAATGCGAACAAGATCGAAGCTGTGGACAAAAAGGCGTAAAGGCGTGAATTGCAGGAGTAGATCGACCTCGGGTCATGCCACGCATTAATCCACAAAGACGGACGAGAGAGAATTCCTTTACGCAAAATTTGCCTCCTCAATTTCTGAATTTCAAACGCTGGTACTTACGAGAAAGCTGATTTTGAATTATAGCCTAATGAAGATGTTATAACAAAGATAAAATATTATCCATAAGCCAACCCTGCGGCAAACTTACGGCCATGAGAGCATCATTAGCTAATCATAATTATGTTAATATTGTCGCGATAAATTGTTTCTACGTAATGATAGAGAGCTAGGAAAGGATTCAATCGCTCGAAGTGCGTTTATACCAAGCTCCCCCGAGAATTCAAAGGCTAGCGTGCGGGCAGACCGTTGCCATAAATACTTCCCAGTAATTTACCGAACTGTCCGTACACGAAAACAAGACGTACGATTTAATCTTAATTAATGAGAGAGGAAGTTTTACCGCGCTCTCACTTCGTGTATGCGTATCTAATAAAACTGAACGTTGCTCTTTCTTCGCTAGAGCAAAAACGTCGATCTGATCCTACAAGTTTCAGGTAGGAACATTATTTTTCTCCCATTCTTAATAACACGAATCTGATTGCAGTCTGCAAAACGGTACGTACTCGCCTTTCATAATACAATATGTACAATGCATGCAGATGTTTATTGAAACCGCTAAATTACTTATTATTCTTTCCAGCTGCCTTGTATTATTTTTTTTTTAATTCATGCCGATTCATACGTATTTAATTCATACGTATATATTGTCTGGGTATTTTAATTATTATTATTATATACAATGTTATAGAAAATATGATCCGGCATCGGATATAATTATCTAACGCTTCGCGACAACGCAGGGTGCGCGAGTTAACGTAAGTAACCAAGTGTCGAGAGGCGGTAATCGTGAGAACCTATAGAAGCAACCGTCACGCACAGAAACGAGAGGACCCCTCCGCGTAATTTCGAATATCGTAACGTAAAGATCGTACGATCCGGCGACTGAGAGTTACATATATAGCGCGCACGGCCGCATTATAAAAAGTAACTCATTCACGGTTTTATTGTTCCACGATTTATCGCGAGAGGAGACGCGCGATCCGAACGCATGTTCCCCGAGAGCGGTCGCTGGCTAACGAACGCGCGTTTCCAGTGATTTTTTAATGAACGACGAAGGTACCTCGCAGGGATGACATTCCACCGGCGACGTCTCTCACGACGAAGTCGTATCGAAAGTCAGGATCAGATTAGAATCGAGGAGCGCTTGGGAATTTATCTGCGCCCCGGAGAAATAATCAGCGGGATAGTGGCCCAACGCAGGTATAGGTAATTCTGTCGCGTGGTTTGTCATCGGGACATCGACAATCCGCTTGATACGGACGAAGGCTCCCGTTAAACGAAAACGTCATTGTTGATGATCGCATTCGTGAGCTCTTCGCTTCATAAACGGGTGAAATTTTCACACCGACTTCCGTTTATCGTTGATGCGCGTAATTTGGCTTGTTTTAACGATTTAATCGTCGTTGGATAATTTCTATCAATTCTTGATTAAAAATGGTAGCATTCATGAGAATGCAAAGTCGTAGATGCTATTACGCGCGCGAAACTGCGTGAAATCGCGATATGATGACTGCGACGTAAAGTGATACAACAACGGCGATAGTTATGCCCGCGCGATTGAATAATAAATTTATCTTAATAAAAAAGCATACCGTAATGCGGGCGAGATATTTATTGTGTAAAAACTAATACAGGGGCGCACACCTTGCAGCGAGCTCGGGATTCCGCAGCCGTTCGCCATTCGATTAGATCGCATCTCGCGTCTCGCGTCGCGCGAAATAACGCAGAGGAGTTTCGGGAGCTGTACAAGAAACGGAATGCGCTCTCGTCCGAAAGCGAGCCGCTGATTGAAGACGAGCAAAACGAGAAGAATCACCGGCACTTACTTCTGCTGGCGAGAAAGATCTCGATGGCCACATTCTGCAGCAGGTAGCGTCGCGAGAAAATCGCACGGACTTCCGAAAAGTACCATTTTCCGTGTAGGTGGTCGCAGTATTTCAACACCTGTAACAAAAATTAAAAGAGCGATCTCTGTTTAATGAGAAATTATTTGCTATCAATATTATTGCGCGGCTCTTACTGACCAGATTAATTCTTAGTTCCTAGTTTGAATATCTATGCAAAGAAAATTTTTATCCGATACGCGTGTATATCATACTATTGCATAACTGGGATATACTCGTGCCATAAAATCCAAACTATGACAATTAATCAATAGTTTATTCAGATATCTTTTTAATTTTAAGTATTTATTTTAGTATAAAAATATATATTATAAGTAAAATAATGTGTGTTTCATGTACCATCTTCAAATATTTTGAATAATATAAATATATCTCAGATGTATACAAGTTAGTATGGTACTTTCCCGTATACAAAAATCTTAATATTTTCCAGAAAAGTTTTCTCCATGTGAGAATCTTAACACATCTCGTATATCGTTTAGCTCTTCTCGACCATTTCTTCTTAAGGGACGTTTTTAAGGATTTATAATTCATTGATAAATAATTGGACCTGAGTCTAACATATTGCGACTATCTTTATTATATTCTTCTTTACGCTTATCTGTAATATATTAACTTTTTTATAGCTATATACGTAGAAATTAACTTACGCATGTCGGAAGCCATCTTTAGATCCTTGGAGCGTTACTATCGATTATCACTTACATGATACTTTTTCTAACTATTTTTTGACAGCAATATGATAGTTTGCATGGACATCGCGAAGGAAATGCCCATTGGGTACCAAAGCGGAATGGTCCAAGGATGCGAGCACATCGCTGGACATAAGTATGCAAGCACGATGCAATGAAGTGTGATGTGATATAGTGAAACCAGTGCTGGTTGCAAGATGGCCGTCATGGTAGGAGGAGCCTCCTGCTGAGCTGAGAATCGATCCCAGGACTTCGTGGACTTGCGCTCTCGAACGAGTCGTGAACAACTCGCCGGCGAAAGGGGGAGAAGGAGAGAACAAAAAGGAACGAGATTTGGCAGGAGAGAAATAGAGAGAAAGAGAGGGGGAAGGAAGAAGAGCAGGGTGGAAGGAAAAGGATCGGCGAACATGGTAAAAGAAGGAAAGGAAGAAAGAGGGAGACAAAATAAGGGATACCGATTTACCACCCCATGCCTAACAAGGCCTTCAATTTTTGCTTCTTAATGAGGACGTATCATGCCGTCGCGATGTTCTTACGCGCGGCAAATGAAATTATCCTTGAAATAATCCGCTGAAATTATCCATTTGGTTGATTACGCCTGAAAAGTCTGCGTCCAAAAATGCCAATAAGATCTTATCTGCGTCCCTCATCCTTCTTGTAGGCGGTTTTTTGTGATAAAAGCGCGACTATTGCAAACGTAAACATAACCGGAAATGTTGTCGGACTTATCGAAGCCAACATCGACATTCGGAAACACCTTAACTCGATTGTCGCCGAAAAAGGCAACGGCGCATTGAAGGGGAAATAAAACGGGGACGGCATACTGAGCCACGCAAATTAATACTAATTTTATAAAATGTCATCGTAATCAGATTAAATGATCAGATTAAATCATGAATAAAACGCAGAATTTAGAGGCCATTCCTGTTCTTCGGCTCAGACACGACACTTATACTTGTTTCATTTTTTATTCGAGTTCCAATTCATCCCTCGTTTCATAGCCGAGTAGTAAAATATATATTTTATAAATAAACGTTTCTCTTCTTTTCTCTTTCTCGTTTAATCTCAGCAATGATGAAAGCATTCCAACGACCGCGATTCATACAGACTAAGATTGTACAAATCGAAAACGTGAATTAGACGTTGAGCTGTCTTTACGAGACTCTCATCAAATTTTAACAAGGTGGAAATGAGAAGAGCATGGTTTTATAAGAGACTTTAATTCTGACGAGTGTAATTGTTTCTTCGATTAATTAACAAACGACTGCTAATAAAGGATCGCTAATAAAGGATCGCCAGTAAAACATGGGAATTTATGTGGCTCCAGGACGTCTCAATTCTATCATTTCTACATTTCACGATATTTTACTTCTTAATATTTGGACAAGTCCGCGCCATCGCGGCAAATCGTCAAAGCGAATTCCTCGCATGATGATAATCCCTCGCAGTTGGATACGCGAAAAGTGAGTAAACTAACTTAATGAGAGAAAAAGAAAAGAGAACATCGTCTTATGTCGAAACATCTTTCGCATACATTGAATGCGTGTTGACTGATAACGGTAGTATGTCACGTGTATATCAAAATTAGAAAAATATAAGCAGTCTCGAGACCGTGAATGTCACATTGACTCGTAGTGAGAACGCATGACTGTCGATCAATATTAGGGGTATGAAGTAAGTGATACAATCATTGACATGTCACAGTTATTAGCAAGATATATAAAAAACCATAAGAAATAAAATTCTAACATATTAGAAAACATCATATGAAAATAGTGAAGAAACAGTGAACGCGGATAAGATGGTCATGATATGTTATAATATTCATAATGTTGTTATTTCGAATAGCGTACACACGTAAATTGCTGTAAATATAAATTATCTTTGAGAATGATTACAAGAAACGTTGTTTAGTTATTATTGGAGAAATTATAGCCTGTGATCATCCTTTTCGCACGACCATCTTACTCGAATTTATTCTACTGCGCATTAAAGAATTTTGTTTCTTCAATTTAGTTATTTTTGCTTTTAGAGAAATTTTATTTCCTCTTATATGTTGCATCAATGAGATTGTGTAGAGACGTCAATGATTATAACACTTACTTTATGTCCATTAGTGTAATGCAGATGCGTAAAATGTTGTAAAGTTATTCCGCCGAAACATATATATGCAAGTTTCGTTCTCTTTTTCAGGACTTTGAAAAACACACGGCGATTTTCCCGGAGCAGTTTGACGCGACGGTTGCAACACCCAAGATTGGCGAGCGAACGGGGGAACGAACACACAAAGCCAACCCCTAGGGCGATCTGCGCAAGCTCTCCGCAAACACTGCTTGAGATTGATAACGGCCATGTCGCGGCTCAGAATCCATTATTTGAATACCTGCAACCGCAACAGAGATATATCACGTATGCTTCATGTTTATGCCCTGTCACAGATTAAATGGATTCATTCGTCCTTCGTTAATCCCCCGCACGCACTTTACGTGCGAGGCATTGTTTTAACCTCCCGAGATCGCGCTGGCCGACGTAATGTATTTTCCGTCTGAATGGACACGTCGATCTTCTCCTTTCGTAAAGGAAAGAAGCAAAAATACTAAAGTAACAATGCGAATATTGTACACACATTGCGTGATGATCATTCGCGCGGGAGAGGACCGCGGGATATTTTCCGCGTGCATTCACGTTACAAGTCCACGCGACATACTATCATTTCAGGGGAAGATCCTCACATTTGAGACCCCACCGTGCCGCGAAATGCTCATCGTACGACGGGACGTAAAAATAATACGTTTACATGTCGCGACGCGAGCCAGCGGCTGGGTGGCAGAGACCACACGCGGTTAAAGAGAAAGTCCTGGTCGCGGAGTGTCAAGTGGTGCACGATTAGAGCTCCCCATGTCTCCATGCTCGTCTCTCACCAACCGAAACCGACCCGACTCAGCGGAGCGCCCGGGGTTGCACCGCGACGACAATGGGCGATGTGATGTAACAACATGTGTCGCGTTCGCAAGGGGGCCCCCTCGCTGCTCTCGCGAGCTCTCTACGTACGCCGTAGGGTACCCATAGAATGGGATACCACTTAGCAGCCCGCCGGCGGTATACAACAAACAGATTAAGCATCGGACAATAATGGACCCGTCGTTCTTCCAGCTCACTTGGACGCCCACATAAACCCTCCTCGACGGTTCAGCGAGTGCCGAAATCACGTTCGCCGTAAAGCGAACTCGTAGAAGAACGGCGACGTACGAACGACCGCTAGAGAAAGGAGCTCGGACTTGCATATCCCGGTACTTCTTGACAGGATCAGGGAGTAACACGTTATACTTGTATAACACAGTTACCATTGCAAGTCCCTTTTCTTCGGTAATGACTTGGTAACGATTTTTTTTTACTAATAATTATAACAGAAACGTAATTACATTTTTCGGATAACTATAACAAATATATTTGTCACTTTTATCGTTATATTTCGCATATATGAAAGATATTCGCACATATGAAAGATATAAAAAAGATATATTTATGTAAAATGGGTAGAAACAAATATCAAAAGAGAATCTAAATGTACATAAATTTAGCAGCAACTTTATTAATCAGTTTATAAAAGTTATATGTCTTACAAGAGTGATTTATATGACTTTCATAATTATTTATATAGAATTACAGAGTTATATAAAATAACGAAATAGAAATCTGAAAGAAATTATCACAAAAGTTCTGTTCAATACTCAAAGTTCATGTCAAAGTTACTCAACATATCACTCAGCAATAGAATATAAAAATTCGAGTGTAATTTTTAATAAATTTGTTGCTGCACCAATATAACAAAAATTATTATGTAATGTAAATTTAACAATTAATTTAGTAATAGAATATTTACTTTATAAATAAAAAAATTGTAAAGTTCCTATCAACGATTGTCTCACATTGTAATATTATAATCACGAAAATCCGTCTGGAAAGTCTACGAAACTTGCTGGAAAACGTAACAAAATAGTAGTAATTTCTTAAATAACGCTAACAAATTAATTTTTTCAAATAAATAACGAATCAATTTTTTTCAATAAGTAACAAGTAATAATAATAACTAACATTGACACTTTTCAAAAATAACCTCCCAGTTTTGCTTCTTGGAGTCTCAACAATAAAGCCGTGCAAGCTTTTCACTATTCTCGGTGACGCTAATAAGAGAAATGCATAGATGCAATAACGATTCATATAAAAACCTTCCTTCAACGTCAGCGATACATTCACTCAAGAGAATTGTTTAGAGAGTTGCAAAGAGAAGGTCAGCAATCACCAACACGTTGGAAAATATTAAAAAGACTCAATTACAAATTTAACGATCACAACTGATAGCTTTATTATACACTGATACACCGACAGAGATATAACGAGAGCCGACTCGATTCTTGAAATATTTGACTTATTAACCGTGACTTATTAACTTGCAAAATGTTGCACATTTTCGTACTATCGCACTGACACTATGTATGCGAATATTCGGTTTCTTTTTCCTTTGCTAATGTCTCTGATAACAGACTACACTAAAGCCGATAGATTAGCGAGAAATATACAAAAAATATAAATATATATATTCGTAGTAGAGCTGATATGGAGAAATTAGATATTGAAATTGCGAACGCGCTATATTGCGAAAGTTATTATTTTACTTGACATTAATTTATTTTACGCTTTCATAAAATCGGAGTATTTTGGTTTAGAACTTTGAAATCGCCGAAATTTACTTTCCCTCGAAATTTTCTTGGCACTTCAAGTCTCTAGAAAATCTTTCTGTTAAGTGTTAGATCAAACTTTGGAAAAACGATAGAGCTCTTTCCCCCTCGCCTAAACGGGACAGCGCCTGCTTCCGTAAATGCGCCAGCTAATGCTCAAAACGCCCGAGTGCCATCGCGGCTATCCCAAGCGGCGATGAGTTATGCTCACCACGTGCGTATTCTCATACCTTTATTGCCGCAGCATCACGCGAGATAACGCGCACCGCGGCGTATAACACACGCGAAGGGTGATACACTACGCGCACATTGTGTTTGCCTTCTCTCGCATTGTACAAAATTTTCTGCTGTATGAATGAACAACACAAATTTTTTTTCGGCTTGTAAAACATGACGTACACACGTCTACATCTGACACACGTAATAAAGAAATCATCGATGAGTACGTAACACGAGCAGGACGTAACGATGGGCCGACGAAACTATTTCGACTAATGACGCTCGACAAACAGCAAACAACGATGTTTTTTTTTTCCATTCAATTAACTCGTACCCGGGCTTTTCCCAGGTATCATAAAATAGCGGATAATGCGATCTGTTTCCGGTAACAGATGCGAACGGACCGGCTGTCACGTTAATGACTCGTCTGAACTATTAGTCCGATGTATGCTAAGAAGATTGAAGCCAGCGGCGCTACTATTAATATTCGCGTTGCAAACAGTGCGTGTTTAATCGTCGCGTAGTTTTCGACTATTTCAGATGCGAATGCTCGAAATGGTATGATAATAACTCTAGAGCCGATCAATAATCGTCTCGCGATACTCATAATGAGCAATTTGTACCACTAAAATAAGATCAATAAATACTCGCAGCTCAATATATGTTCAGAGTTAAAAAGTAACGTCTTATTTATAACTCCGTCATTGTTGTAAATAATTTTTTTCTGCAACGATTTCGTAAAGTTATTTGTTTACATGATAATAACAGTAACGGTAACGCAATTATTGTGTGTATTTTTTGGGTAAGAGTAACAAATATAATTATTACCTTTATTGCGTTGCTTTGCACATGTAGTACAGAGAATGGGCCGAAATGAATTCCAAAAATAGGTTTCAAAACTTTGAAAAAGCAACGGAATTGTAAAAATTCGTTACTTCTTGAATAACGATAATGGCAACGCGTTGCTTCTTAAAAATGACTTTTCTAACGTTGAGTGTACTGTTATTTGATCGGTCGATTCGTACAGCTTTTCTTGCGATGGATTCAGAGCAATTCTTTCGAAAAAAATCTTTGCGACGTTTGGAGAAAAATCTCTTTTCCGTGCCATTTCCCGAGGATACCGGGGAATGAGTAGTCTCGGCAGACTGTCTGTCTACCGGCTGCCGAAGCTCAACGAGCGAGGCCCGGATTATCCGGGATTTACTCGGGGATGTTCATTCGAGCTGATTTACAAGGTCGACTCGGCGTACCGACTGCATAGGCCCGGTGGCCGTGCCAGAAGATGCGCCACGATCCTCGATAGAAATGTTACACAATGGAAACACGAGTCTACGGCATGGAAACTAAAAGTATAAGTACTGCTCGCGCTTATTATACACGAAATACCGGGGAAAGTGAAATATTTTGGCGTGCATCGATCGCTCGGCTTTGTTCCAGGGATATTAAATTTCCAACATTTTTTACCTTGAAAATCTTATAAATCTTAAAGATCGCGATAAAATAGAGATTTTTCAAGTCAGCCGATGTCGTTTGAAAATTTAATCCTCCAGGAAATATTTTGGCAATTTGAAAGTCACGATTTCTCCGGGGAAATTTTTCTTTTCGTTAATAATATTAATTTTATAGAAATAAACGCATTTTTACGTCAATCTTCCTGTCAGATCTTCCGAATATCGGACGAACCTCGACCGAAAGATGATTTAGCGAAACGTCATTCCTGGCGTCATGCCGCGAGAACATCATCGGTGTACAAATAATTTCGATGATAAACGAATTAAACTGAAATGGGATGATGAAAGGCACATTTAGGGCAGAAGGAGCCCTCGGGTTTTGCCTTAATGCGAGGGCTGATGTAGCAGAACGTTTGACCCCTCGGCGCACCAACGCGTAAGATGGGAAAGCGAAACGAGTAGAACGAGACAGCGCGAGTACGACACACGTGCTTGGCTCATGAATCAAGTCGTATTAGCGAGAGCAAAGTGGGGACCGCCGGGTACCAATCTACCACTCCAACTTGGAGTAGATTGGATTCCCGAGCTTTATTCGATTATCCATGAACGAGGAGCGCGAATTGAACGTGGCGCGACTCTCCGGTACATATAACTCGCCGTTTCGCTTCGCAGCTTTGCCCATCGGAGCATACGTGATGAGTTGGACAATGAAGCACGGGAGAGAGTTGATCGAATAGAAGGATCCAGATTATGTCATTATTTTCTTCAAGTTTGATTAAACAAGGAATTGGATCTACAGTAACTATAGCGAACATAAAGAGATTAGAGAGATGATGGGAAAATGTCGAAAGGGTACTGTGAAATGTCGAAAGGTCACAGTAACGTTAAACAATGACTTACATTTAGCAACAGCTTTGCAACTGTCGCAAAGATTGTTCTGAACAATTTGTTCATACTTAGTTTCCATCGTATTCGTATGCTCTCCTACTAGCAATAATGCTGATTTTCGCATGGATGATCTACTATGTTTAGATTCTTGTGGTATACCATGACCAAATATAAGTAGAGAGAAACAACACAGAGTCGAATACAAAGTTTAAACTTTATTATTTAGAATGGTTAATATAATGTTTTAACAGTGCTCTAACAGTTAGAGAGATGCACGAACTGAGGTTTTTCAGACTTTGAAGCGTACGCGGAGGAAAAATCTTCCACGTTAGAACCACTACAATTGCATAATCTATATGATATTCACCATTAATATCAGTTAGTCTTTTTTCATCATCATATAAATCAATCGTATCGTAAAATTTCATGCAACCTTTTTCTTTATTGCGTGGTGTGATATTTCAATGTTTTATCTTCATCCCATTTGTTCTGCATCCTCACTCCATGCATTTCACTCTGTTGTTAAATGCTGTATTTTATCTACTATATTGTAGCGTTTATTTGTTACAATTTTATACTTTTCGTTATATCGCTTATTTATAATTTTCAAATCAGACAATTTTGCTAACAGCAGTTGTAATGCTGCCATTCTTTCTTATTTTTTTCTTTCATTACCGCTAAGTTGTTATTATAGTTGTTGTTGTTGTTGCAGACATCATTTAGTGATTCACCAACGCGCTTTTCTAACCAATATTTACATTATATTTTCCGACATACTAGAACTTGGAATTAAAAGTTGAAACTGCAGCACAATGAGTTTTGACTGTTGCGAAACGTAGCCATTGATTCGAGAGGAAAAATAGCAATACGATAAACGCGTTGACAACTTCTGCCTTCTGTTCACTCGCATAGAGTTGAAAAGAATGCGAAAAACGATAGTTGCCGAAGATACGGTCAGATCTTACCTCTGTGTGTGGAATATGTTATATCTATCAGGCCGATCGGTATTCTTCGACGATATTTAGTGGCGTGAGTTTTTACGATCATGGCATAAAAGGTAAGTTCCGGGATCCAGTATCTCGTGTTTGTAAGCTATTTTTCGTCGCGTACACCTGCCTCTGCACTCGTGTACGTGCATATGTATATGTGTATGTGTGCATACGTTCCATCGAGAATTGAAGTTGCATACTTGTATTCGCATGCGCGATCGCGAATGGGAGACGTCGTTACACTTTCTACCTTTCATGCCAATACCCAATATTCAAATGATCCTTTCGACATCCTTCCGTGCGTGAATGTTATCGCGTCGCTTGGTCATGTCCGGAATTATCATGCTATGAAATCGCGCGAACTGCTCATCCATTTGTGGAATTGTGCTTCTCGATATATACTGGCTGTCGACTTGGACAGTCGCGAGGGAAAAGTCCATCTATTACTAAAATGTTTCTGCACTTTTTAAAATCTGACAATTTTCGCGATCGCTACAGTCTTGCACAACTCAACATTTGTTTGCACGTTGAGAACAAGTCATCTTCATTTGTTCATTTCAAGTCTTCTACAATCTTCATTCGACGAGCCAAGCGGGGAAAGACGCGTCCTATGTGAAGTATTCTTGTAGAAATTTCACAAGGACACGCTAACGTAAAGTCATGCTGACTGGATTACGAGTATATCCATAAATGAAAATACATCGGTAGTGATGGAAAGCTGCTCGCGCGGTTCCGCAACCGCACAGCTTATCACTACCTATCGATAGCGACGGTGCGGTGAGCGGCGGAAGGAACGACACAGTGGTGGAGGAAGCCAGGAACGACAGGAGGCGTGGTAACAACGCGCACGCTCCACGTGACCCTGTCGCTCTGGAGGCGGGACTTGGGAACAGGGCATACAACTACAACAGCAGTGGAACGAGCCGGTGGTCAGCAACGTTCTCTCTGTCGTCGCGCGCGCGAGACACCTCGAGTTGCGCTCGTTGCACGTACAACACCTGCCGCACGATTAGGCACGCACGGCGTTCGTTCATCCGTGACCCGACGTTCCGGCGCGCGAGCTCTTTTGTTGAGACCGCGAGTTTTCTTTCTCTTTCTCTCTCTCTCTCTCTCTCTCTCTCTCTCTCTCTCTCTCTCTTTCTCTCTCTCTTATAGCGGTGCTCTCCCCCGATTCGAAAATCTAGACAAGATCGACGTAGCGCGACTGTTGGACACCCCCTCCTCCCCCCTCTCCACATATGATGCTTGGGAAAACGATACACGATGACGACAAAGACAACAACAATAACAGGTTGATCGGTGAGTGAGCACAGAAGAGCGGACGGAAGAATGAACTTCGCTCGGTCGCGGCGCGGGAACGTTCTCAGAATCGGAAGCGGAAGCGGACAACCTCGTCATGATGTTGGTGCCACAAGATATCATGGGCGGCACTTCGAAGATGCTGTACCAGATGAATAAATACTATACCGAGCGGGTGCAGGTACGCATGGCCCAGGTGCAGAAGACTATACGGGAAGTGTGCAAGGTCGTGCAGGATGTGCTGAAGGAAGTCGAGGTGCAGGAGCCGCGCTTCATCTCGTCGTTGACCGAGTGTAACGGCCGCTACGAAGGCCTCGAGGTGATCTCACCGGGTGAATTCGAGGTGGTTCTCTACCTGAACCAAATGGGAGTGTTCAACTTCGTCGACGACGGCACCCTGCCGGGGTGCGCGGTGCTGAAGCTCAGCGACGGACGCAAGAGGTCCATGTCGCTCTGGGTGGAGTTCATCACCGCGTCCGGCTACCTGTCGGCCCGCAAGATACGCTCGCGGTTCCAGACTCTGGTGGCGCAGGCTTGCGACAAGTGCAACTACAGGGACTCGGTGAAGATGATCGCCGACACCACCGAGGTGAAGCTACGGATACGCGAGCGCTACGTCGTGCAGATCACGCCGGCGTTCAAGTGCTCCGGCGTGTGGCCACGATCAGCGGCGCACTGGCCGATACCGCACATTCCGTGGCCGCATCCGAATCTCGTGGCGGAGGTGAAGACTGAGGGTTTTGACTTACTATCGAAGGAGAGCGTGGCGCTTCAGGGCAAACAATCGGCTATGGAGGGCGATGCCTGGGTGTTGTCCTTCACGGAAGCGGAAACCAGGCTGCTGCAAGGCGGCTGCCGCAGGAAATGCCTGAGCATTTTGAAAACCCTGCGGGACCGGCACCTCGATCTACCCGGCAATCCGGTGACTAGCTATCACATGAAGACATTGCTACTGCACGAATGTGAGAAGCATCCCCTCGAGACCGAGTGGGACGAGATATGCTTGGCCGATCGCATTAACGGCATCTTCCTGCAGCTGATATCCTGCCTTCAATGTCGGCGATGTCCGCACTACTTCCTGCCGAATCTCGATCTCTTCAAGGGAAAGTCGCCCAGTGGTCTGGAGAATGCCGCGAAGCAAGTCTGGAGACTCACGAGGGAGCTGCTCACGAACAGCCGCGCTCTAGAGAAGCTCTAGCGTCTTCCTTCCCGGAAGTACCACCATAAGACGCGCGACAAGCCGGAAATCGCTCGATGACATGTAACGGAACTTTGAGAACATTACCGTCACATATTACGCACTTTTCCGATACTATCCGCGAGCAGTATTGCAGTCACTGCTATTACTTAATACACACTTGTATCAAGGGTTTAGAGATGATGCATTATCACAAGATGACTTCGACTTATGTAAGCCACTTTAAGTCTTACTCGTTTTCCTTTTGGTAACAATCACAATTCAATGAGCAATAATCATTCTCGGATACAAAGCCGACTTCACTCGTAACTCTTTCTTCCGATTTGAATAGTTGTTAAAAGTTGAAAGTTAAACTGCTCGATGATTAAGAATTTTGCTGTAATGCAAATGGCAATGCATATTGCTTGTTTAATTAGTCCAGCTGAAATAAAGTATCCCGTGCAATTCTTTAGTCCGACAATGTGTTATTTCGTTTCGATTGTATCAAATTGCGAGTATTGAGATTATAATCGCAATCAGATACAGAAAAAAATTCGAACCTCACTTAGACACACGTAATAATGAGATCGCTATGTGAAAAACGTAACAAAATTGGTGCGAAAAACTTGCAATTATGAACGGCTATAGAAAGCTAACTGTTAGATCTAACGGTTAAAGATAGAAGAACTTCGATATCATCGCTAGATCGTTGAATAAATGTTAAAGACGCGATGTGTCTTTTGGATATTTTGCAACCGTCTGTACAAAACTTTTGCCAGCGAACGTTCATATTTGAAATGTATGTTTTAACGAGATAAATCTGTTTCTGTATTCTAAGTTACATTTGCAAGAGCATTTAAAATATGCAATACATTTTAATTAACTATTACCTGTTTATCTACACGAAAAGTCATGTGATTTGTTATCTTCATTAATCTTAATATTTATAATCGGTTAGCAGCAAGCTTCCGACGGTAGCTAGACTACTCATTGTTACATATGTATGTACATATTTCTTTTATATTATTTAAATAATATTTATTTTACTATCGAATAATTGTTTAAAACACATAAAATGTAAATAATAAATAAATGCATTTATCATCTACAACGAAACGAAAGTGTATCTTCAATCAAATGATTTTTACCTCCTCCACAATTAGTATATCAAACTGAGGAACTTTACGAGACTTCATATTCAAATCACATAATAAATTATGATTGTTTTATGATATTTCAAGCAATCCCAATTATATCTTCTCTAAATAATAGAAATATTTATGTTACACACAAAAGCATACATACCTACTAATGCATCTTCGTACAGCAATAGCAAAATATATCGTTGCGAGTTTGGAGAAAAACGTTTAACTCTTGACGAATTTTATAAAGAAATCTCTAAATGTTACCTTATTCGTAAATATCGTGTTTTCTGATAAACGATCGAACGTGTATATTTCTTGTATAATTAATTTCCGACGGAATATCGCTTCGCTCGTTCCTCGCGAGAATCTCTTTTTAATAACATCGTTGTATTATATCGGGTTGTAATGTATGCACAAATATTATGTCGAATACTTGCACTTAGCTGCATGTTATAGGAGCCTGGAGCAACTCGTTGGCAACGAAGCACACTATCATCTTCATTATACACCTACATAGAGTATCGCGTTCTTATCTTAATTTTATCCTCAATGTCTCGCGTTCGCCTTTCCTGGCAATGATATCCGTTAGCTGGTGCCGTTCGCGTTCCTTGCTTTACTGTACACTCGACCACTTCCAAGTGCGTACGATAATTATTATTGCACTATAGCACGAACAGCAAAGGTCTCTATTAACCATGGAATATCAAATTAATCGACATTCTCCACTATATAAGAAATTCACTGTAATTTTATAGCTATTTTACTGAGATATCGACACGTTTCACTCCTTTATGATTTTTCTTTGCCGATTGCATTATTAATATAATAACGATAATACATTCAGAGATAAATTATCGTCGCAATATGTCAAGCAATCTGAATTATATTTCCTCTAAATAATAGGAATATTTATGAAAAAAATAATTTATACTTAGGAAAGACTCTGTTAACATTCAAAGAAATAAAAAATACAAAGAAACATTGATATTGGTTTTTTTACAAAAACAACAGCTTTGCTCTACTTTTATTATTATCTGGGCGTTTTCAAAAAGAAAACAGGCAACAGAAACAGAACATACACAAGAACAATAACAAAAACAATGAACAATAATAAGAAAAAAAATAATTTTTGACTTTATAAGAAATTAAATATCATCGTGTTTCATTTGTTTTTACATTATTATAAGATAATTAAAATATAGATTATTAAAAACTATTTATATTATACTTTTCATTTTTGAAGGCAAATATTTGTTATACGAAAGTATATTTATATGTTATATATAAAATCACAAATTAATTCCGCCATTTGTCCCATCGAAAAATATTCGAAAGTTTCTCAACAATTCTAACATTAATCAAATTACAATAGTGGATTACCATCTACCGATTCTCATTCACGTTAACCTTTTAAAAACAAAATATCCTTGAGCTCTGCATGTAACTTTATCCCACGGCATGGATATGATTGCGGTCCACCATGTCGAAAATTTCGGAATAACTAAAGGGGCTGCGGGGAGGGACTGAACCCTCGCGGATGGGGAATAAACCAAGCGGTTCCTGCATAATTCATGGGGAGGAAGAAGGGCTACCACGAGGGTTACCTCGCGTTACCTTCGTCCCTCTATCCCTCACGTCGCACGTAACGTTGCTGGAACTGTTGGTGTGCCCGCGTCGGATCGATCTTGTCGGCTGTGTGGCTAACCACGCCTACACGGCGCGGTAGGCTAGCTATTGGCCAAGAGATCATGCTGGGGGACGTGCCAGCAAGGAGGAGGTGTGCCAACTATGTTGTATGTCCTTGCTGGCCACGGAAGGTGGGTGACGCGGAGGAGGTAGACGAGAGCGCAGTCGGCAACTTACTCCTGCACGGAGACGCTCGTGATACTTCCTTCTGCCGCTTCGTTCGTGTCTCCGACGCACGGTCAGTTCTGGGCTTGGACGAGAACTGGACTTTTCGGAGGAAGACGAAGAAATTAGAAGAAGCGAAAATCACGCACTACCGAGCGACGGAAAATCGCGAACGTCCGTCGAGCGAGATTTAATCATCGCCCGTAAGGTGCTCGATGGAAGAAGCACCGTGAGGCAATGGAGAAGTTGGGCACAAGGATGCGGGAATGATCCGGAAAAGCTGAAAGATCGAGTAATAACCATCCGTGGACTACGAAACGGTCCGCGATGTTGGTGCCGCCAGATATGCTGGCGTCCCACAATCGGATGCGTTATCAGTTCAACAAGTACTTCACCGAAAGGGTGATGAACAGGAAGAGTCAAGTAGCGAAGACCATTCAAGAGGTGTGTCGAGTAGTGCAGGATGTTCTCAAGGAAGTAGAGGTGCAGGAACCGAGATTCATCTCGTCCCTGACGGATTACAACGGCCGGTTCGACGGTCTCGACGTGATCTCGCCAACGGAATTTGAAATAGTCATATATTTGAATCAAATGGGCGTGTTGAATTTCGTGGACGACGGTACTCTGCCGGGCTGCGCGGTGTTGAAGCTCAGCGACGGACGCAAGAGGTCCATGTCGCTCTGGGTGGAGTTCATTACTGCATCCGGCTACCTGTCGGCCCGGAAAATACGCTCGAGATTTCAGACTCTGGTGGCGCAGGCGTGTGACAAGTGCACCTACCGTGACTCGGTGAAGATGATCGCCGACACCACCGAGGTGAAGCTGCGGATACGCGAGCGCTACGTTGTGCAGATCACGCCGGCGTTCAAATGTGCCGGCCTCTGGCCCAGGTCGGCCTCGCATTGGCCCATCACGCACATACCATGGCCACATCCGAATATTGTCGCCGAGGTGAAGGCCGAGGGCTTTGATATGCTCTCGAAAGAGTGCATAGGTCTACAGGGCAAGCAGTCCGCTATGGAGGGCGACGCTTGGGCGTTGTCGTTTATCGACGCGGAGAATCGGCTGTTACAGGGCGGGAGCAGAAAGCGTTGCCTGAGCATTCTCAAGACCCTGAGAGACCGGCACCTCGATCTACCGGGGAACCCGGTCACCAGCTATCATATGAAGACTCTGCTGCTCTACGAGTGCGAGAAACATCCGCATGAAGCGGAGTGGGACGACGGCTGTTTGGCCGAACGAATAAATGGGATTTTTCTACAGTTGATCTCGTGTCTGCAGTGCCGCAGGTGTCCGCATTACTTCCTACCGAATCTCGACCTCTTCAAGGGGAAATCGCCTACCGGTTTGGAAAACGCCGCGAAGCAAGTGTGGAGACTTACCAGGGAATTGTTGACAAACAGTCGTGCTCTTGAGAAACTGTAGTGACCGATTTCATTACGACTGTTCGCTATACGAGTCATCGACTGATCTCGCAATCTCGTCGTGCACGTTCCTATCACGATCGCGTCGTTACGGACTTTAACACACGCATGGATAATCACGTTTCGATAATGTGATAATGACCGTGTAATGCAAGAATTGCGCGCGAGAATCGTAACGTTAACTAAAGATTAGTGACGCGAGGGACGTTCCTTTAACGTGCGGAAACGTCCTTTCTGGTTATCGCTTTTGTTCAACGCACTGCCAGGTCTTCGAGGAACATGTCCTGCGGTTTCCCGACACATCAAGGATCGTGTTCCGAAAATGTTCAGTGCGTGAAAGTATTCCTTGCGAAAGTACTTACGCGTGTACGTGATGTTTAGTGATGAACGCGTGATTGGTCGCGGACCATCGAACTAGTGCCATAAAGATTTGGACGTTAAAGACAAGTTCCGTTTTTATTGTTGACGCGAAATACTTATTAATATAGAGGATTATAGTCGCAGAGAATTATCACTTACGGTTTCGACTTGATGTAATACCTCGTTACAACGTCGAGCCGGCGCACGTAAAGTAACCTTTAACTCGTGGTATGAGAACTTTGTCACTGAGTACGAAAAGTCAGAGTTTCTACTTGACACGTTCAATCCTTTAAACACTACATTTTCATTTGCGAACGTCTGTAACCGGTAAACACTAAAGAATGCAAATTACGAGGGACGAAAGTTTGTGCAGCCTTCCCTAATTACCTCGAAAGATGGTGCTTCGTCTTGGTACTTATAACGAGTTTTTAAAACTGGGCCTACACATACCATACACGTACACACATGCGCGCGCTCACACACGCACGCACGCACATATGCTCGTACGAACACTGCCACATAACTCAGCAGCACTCAAAGGTTTAACGCGTTCGATCATCATCCCTAATTGCGTTCTTCGCGTGAAGCCTGCGTGGCCGATCAATGCGTTCGTTCTCGAGTTCTGGTCAAAGTGATCGCGACCATGGTTAAGGGTTAATCGTTTCTCCCTTATTAATTCTCCGGCACCCTCGTGAATCCCCCACCTCTCATTCTACCTCTTCCCGCCCAGCCCATCCCATTTTAGCCGCCTATGTAAATAAAACTTGAAAGATATTTATTGAACTGTAACAAAAAATGTGAAATATAGTACTATTTATATGGAAGCCTGGTACGCGTCGGTTGATGACACATCACGCACACCCACTCCTTACTCCACAATGTGCTCCACCGAAAAATCGGTTGTCATAAATATCGCCGAACGTCGTTGGTAGTCGCCGTGCGACGATCGTTAAACGCTTCGCCCGATGAAAGCGTCGCGAGGAAGAGAGCGAGTTAGGCCTCGTAAATTTTACAGTCAGCCTCGCACTTTTTTGTCCTTCGCGTCGCCATTGGAGATTGAGGCGAGAAGAGAGCCAACGAGAGAAGGAACGCGTGCACCTTCCTTCCTCCTTTGCATTTCGATGCCGAGCGACGGTAACGCACAGCCACGCGAGCCGAAAAGATACATCCGAAGAATCGCATCGTGAAAAAACGGGGTGTATATTTAGTATTTGGATTCGCACATTCTTAACGTGGCTCTAACTAAGACCGACTCGTTCGCCGCTTTTCACTGTTCAAGGAAGAACTGTCTCTCTCGGCATTGAGTAATGCGCGCGACGTCGCAACGCAAATGCCAATTATTGAATACAGTTAACATCAGGGATTATTTACGCGTTCATAACGAAAGCGATACACGGGTGAATTTCTTACTACCTCTTTGCCAATTTCGTTACCCTTCGACGTCCCGCCATAATTACCGTCGCGCGCGCGCGCGTATATTTCTCTTTTTTTTTTTTTCACCTACGTCCTTTTTATTGATAAGCTAATTGGGTCTTATCTCAATGTTTTACTGCAGACGTTGCTTATACGGTCTATAGCCTACGTAATAACTTGCGTCGAGCAAGGCGGGTTTTAAACAGATGCTACTCTTAACGTGTAGAAGCAGAACGTCGTATTGCGGTGTAGAAAGAGTGCCCCGTGTGGGAAAAAGAGAACATTACAGCAATAACTAACTAACTGTCACTAACGAATTAGATTTTTTGCGTATATCAGTACATTATCGTTTGTTGAGCACTATGAAAATCAGGATAAAATTTTATGTTACAAGACAAGGAAATTACATGTTGCAAATTATACACTAAAATATTATATGGATTAATTTTACACGTTCTAGATATAAAATTAAATGACAATATAAAATGAAGATATGAAATTAATTGCCTGAACTAAAGTAAAATTGATCAATAAATAATAAAAAGCAGATAATAAGAAGGATATGCGCCATGGTATACAAAAATGCAATATCCTATTTTTCTCAAAATTCTCAGACAGTTTTTCGTTTACTAATCCAAACTTTAAATATAAACTATTAGTAAGCAAGTATAATTAGTAAGCAAGTAAGCAATAGTAAGCAAGACATTTAGTCAAGATATTTAGTCCGTTCTTTTACGCGTTCCCTGCGCTACCTTGCACTAGTTATCTTTTTCTCCTTTTCCCAACGAGTCTCAATCGTATACCTGTTTCTTTTTAAATTCCGAAAGTGTACGCTAGTTCAGAAAAAAAAATGAGTCTATTGTCTATAATATGCATCTGCACATTAAAAAGAGCTATTTATTCCGACACGCTTCTGTCAAAATTTGCTTTTCCCTCCAATCTGCTTATACTAGAACTTTATCCTTTCTCAATTCTTGTATATATTAAAAGTATTGCTGTACAAACTATTATGGCTGTATTTTCAAAACTGGGTGATTAATAATTCTAATACTTTGATATACAGGGTGTATCTAAAAGTATGTTACAAATTTTAAAGGCATATTCTAGGGGTCAAAATAAGAAAAGAAGTTCCTATAAACATGAGTCCAAAAATGCTTTCCCTCCGAGTTATAGCCCCGTAAAGTTGGGGGAAAAAGATTGTGAGAAATTTTGCACAGCGTAATAATTAATAGTGACCTCGATAGTGACCTTCATTTTTATTGATAAGCTAATTATGTTTTGACAATGAGTGGTTTTAACAATTTAGTCCGATTTTGAGAGGGAAATATGGAGGAGGGTGCTAATTTTCAAATGACTATATTCTTTTATTTCTTGTCGCATTAAAAAATGAATTAAAACATTTGATTCGGGAGAAAAAACGTTCAAAAAGCTATTCCTAAAATTCGCGGCCGTCGGTTCTACGTGTTTCAGTATCGGAATAGCGAAGAAAAGAAGTAAACAAATAAAAAAGAAAAAGACACAAGCTTTTTTCTTTTTCACGATCGACCGCGTGTCAGGTGTGAGTTCGGCAGTGCGAAATTAACAATGCGAGCAATACATAACGCGTAATTGGAGCTATACACGACTCTTAAAATTCTAATTGTGCTATTCCGATACTGAGCGCGTAGAACCGACGGCTGCGGATTTTAGGAATAGCTTTTTGAACGTTTTTTTTTCTCCTGAATCAAATAGTTTCATTCATTTTTCAATACGACGAAAAATTAAAAAATTTGGCCATTAGAAAATTAGCAACTCCCTCCATATCTCCCTCTCAAAATTGAACTAAATTGTCAAAACCATATAAAAATGAAGGTCACTATCGAGGTCACTATTAATTATTACGCTGTGCAAAATTTCGACGATCTTTTCCCCCCCAACTTTACGGGACTATAACTCGGAGGGAAAGCATTTTTAGACTCATGTTTATAGGAACTTCTTTTCTTATTTTGACCCCTAGAATATGTCTTTAAAATTTGTAACATACTTGTAGATACACCCTTTATAATATCTATAAAATAGTCTTTAATATTACGATAGTTTCCCGTAAAATTTCTGAATGTAATTTCCTAAAAATTAAAATTAAAAACAGGACGCTAACCTCAACGTAATGTAAAACATTTCTATTTAATGATCGAATATCTTATTATTACGCGAGCAAATGTACAATGTTTCGTCTTTTTTCAGCTCTTGTATATGTTAGAAAGATTGTTATAAATTATACACCGACTGCTATGGCTATATTTCCAAAATTCAGTGATTAATAATTCTAATATCTTGATATATAACATCTATAAAATAGTCTTTAATATCACGATAGTTTGCCGTAAAATTTCTAAATGTAGTTTTCTAAAAGTTAAGGTTAAAAACAAGACGCTAATCTCAATGTGATGCAGAGAATGCCTATTTGATGGTCGAATATCTTATTATTGCGCAAGCAACTGGACAATATTTCAGTTCGTACGTAAAAAGTATACAAAATTGATAAATTATAACGTCGAGAAAATTCAGTAGAGCAATCTGCAATCTGCATGAGTCACGGAAAGCCTACGTGCTTAATTTTACAAGACAATTATCTTAATTTCCCACCGAGTGACTCGAAAGTAATTTCGTTTCTTCTGAACAACACAGAGTAATTGCGCGTCCCTGGGAGCGCTAAATATTTCAAACTTAATACACGGCGATGGCCAACACGTATGACAGTCTTACAAAGTGACGCTCGTGCTGGATTATTTTCAATTAATGGGCGTTACGACGTATTTTGAAGCAGTTGGCGTGTGAGCACGTGCTTCAAAGACACTTTATTCAAAGTCTAAACGGAAGTAACAAATGATTTCGAAACGCGCAATAGATTTCGGAGCGCGCGTCAGTTGTAAAGGCTCATCTTAACTGGCATAAACGAGCATGCAACTGGCATTCATTCAAACAACAATTGCTAATAACCATGTTTACCGTACGTGCATCAGAGAAACTTCAAATATTCTCGCCTTTGCTCACGGAACTCTCTGTGAGAATGACGTATTTAAATAATGAATGGAATCTCTTGTTTCTTCGACATGCTAATAAATTTTCTAGTGCCAGCATTGATCACTCAAGATGAGAAACGTTGATATCTATATTCACTCGCTACGTACCGCACGAGCAGCTCGCATAGATCAGAACGAATGTGGTGTAAATTGAATATCTAAATTACGCACGGTGCATGTGAGTGCGCAAGGAAACAAGAGATTTACGTTTTACGTTCGCAGTAATTTCGGGTCGTCGGTATACAGGTAGAACATCTATGTGTGTGTGTGTGTGCATATATATGTGTGTGTGATATAGAAAAGTATTATATAATATATTACCTTTCTTCTCGGAGAGATACGGCATTGATGTACGAAATAAAATTAAATATCTCGATGTGGCATTATTTCGCTAGATTATTTCGCGCTCTCTCCGCGGGATCTCTCTATAACGCGGGATAAGAAAACATCTCGCGCAATGCGATATTTTTAAATTTTCGACATCGCGCACTGATTGTACATATCGTATAATGTTTCTTACTTCACTTTTTTTTTGTTCGAAGCGACCGCGTTGTCGCTTGCGATGCGCGACGAGTTGTACGAACGAATTTACATGCTTATCGGTTTATCACCGTAACTTCCAAGGCAGCTGACAAACGCTCGCTTCGTAAATCGTAAGAACAAAAAAAAACACGGTGAGTGATTAGAACCGGAATAATTACAATAAATTATTGCTCCTAATGGCAAGTTTAATCGTCAGTCTCGTTGGTGACTCCACAATAAAATACCGTCGCTGTCAGTTTAATGGCATACGCAATTTTTCTAATACGTAACTTCCGTGATATCAATTCAAGATTTCTTGTTTCACGCGACTGAATCGCCGTTAACCGACATCAACATTGTGTAGTTGTTTGGTGAAATTTATATTTAATCGAGATATGCGACCGAGACAATGTACATAGTTGTTCTGTGATCACCCACGATCGAGAGTTGGGGGGGGGGGATCCGCGTGTGTCTCTGGTAAAATTCGATTCGGAAATTTCTGCTGCGAATCACAATACGCTATACTGCTCTTGCTTTACCGAAACGCGCGATTACCTCAAGCATCGCGTACGGGAAAGTCAATGGGGAAGGAGGAATGGGGCGCGGAGGAAAAACGAAGAGGAGGAGAGACGAAGAGGAGGAAGACAGAGACTCGACCGCAATATGTAAATGACTCCGGTCATTTCTTTTCTTTTCCTTACGACAGTGTCTCCCGCGACCAGGGGGAGCGCGAGGACGCTTTATCATCGCATCGGGGCCTTCAAGAACGGCGCCCGTCCCTCGAATTCGGCGGTGGATCGCGCCAGACAGCGCGAGACAAAGGCAGGAATCCGCGAAAGCGGACATTGTAATTGGCAGAGGGACAGCGGAGGATGGCGACGGACGGAGGAAGGAGCACACGGAGACAGAGAGGATCGCGCGAAGTAGTGGAAGAAGCGTAGGCCGAGGATCCGTGATCTCTGCTCGCGCGTTTTCGCCACGAGAGAGGGAGAGAAAGAAAGAGAGCCGGATCGGTGCCGGCTCTCCTCCTTCTTCGGAGTGATCTCGGCCGGTCCCCTCGGCCGGCAGAAACCTCTCCGCTATAAAACGTTCAGATAAAGCCGCGATGTTTATATGCGGGGATCGCGACGAGGAGAGGAAAGAGGAGCGCCGTGTAGAAGGAGAGATATACCTGCCGGCCGCGCGCGCCGACAAAATAATAAGACAAAAGACGCCGGGGGTGGACGACGATGAAGCGAGGGGAGAATGAAGAAGAAGAAGAAGAAGAAGAAGAAGAAGAAGAAGAAGAAGAAGAAGAAGAAGAAGAAGAAGAAGGAGAAGAAGAAGAAGAAGAAGAAGAAGAAGGAGAAGAAGAAGAAGAAAGAGAAGGAGAAGGAGAAGGAGAAAGAGAAGGAGAAAGAGAAGGAGAAGGAGAAGGAGAAGAAGAAGAAGGAAAGGAAGAGGAGAAGGAAGGGGGATTAGGTAAGAACGAGAGGAGGAAGAAGGAGCAAAGAGGAAACGAACGTTGGAGATAGGCCCGCGCGATCGAGAAGAGGATGGGGAAGAGCCGTATTGCAGACGCGGAGGATGCTGCGGCGTACGAAAGGGGGACCGAGGGTGCAGGGGCGACCAGAAAAGAAGGAAACCGGACAGGAATGCATGGACGAATGCGTCGTGTTACGGGCTACCCAACCGCTACGCTTATCTTACGAGAGAGTGAGCGAGCTCTCATTAAAATCTCCTCTTTGCCTAGCTTGAGAGACCGTAAGGATTCGTGAACGATCCTCGA